AGAGTCTTACTTTATTGCCCTCAGTAGAGTGCTGTGGAGTCACAGCTCACAGCAACCTCCGAATCCTGGGCTTAGGTGATTCTCTTGTCTCAGCCTCCTGAGTAGCTGGGACTACAGGTGCCCACCACAACACCTGGGCACTGCCCAAGATTTATTTTCTTTGCAAATTTGAAGCATGTGATACAGTATTCTTAATTGTAGTTTTTTCTGCTGGACAGTGAATCTCTAGGACATACTTATCCTGCCTAACTGGAACTTTGTACCCTTTTACCAATGCCTCTCCATCCACCCCCTGCTACCTGCCACTCACCCTCACACCTGCTCCCCAGGCCTTTGTACATCTCTGTAAAAATGGTATAAAATTGCCATTCTACTCTCTGCTTATGTGGCTTCAACTTTGACAATACTCAATAGCCCTGCAGATTTCTAAGGCCCAGAATTGTCTCATATCTATCAAATGAGTGGAAATGCCTTTATTTTGGAGTCTAGCATGGATTTGGGGAGATATATACATGTATATATTTTTTCAATGGGATGTGCATACTATAAAATTCCTTTAAAGTGTACAATTCAGTGATTTTTTAGTATATTCACAAAATTGTATAAATATTATTACTATCTAGTTCCAGGGCATTTTATCACCCCAGAAATAAATCCCTCACCCTTTAGCATTCACTCATCATTTCTCCTCTATCCCCAGCCCATGAAAGCTATTAATCTTTCTTCTCACTTTGTCACCCTTGGTGACACAGCCATAGTGTCACAGCTCACAGCAACCTCCAGCTCCTGGGCTTAGGCCATTCTCTTGCCTCAGCCTCCCGAGTAGCTGGGACTACAGATGCCCGCCACAACGCCTGGCTATTTATTCTTGCAGTTTAGCTGGGCCGGGTTTGAACCCACCACCCTCAGTATACGGGGCCAGCGCCCTACTCACGCAGCCATAGGCGCCACCCAGTCTACTTTCTTTCTATGTGGGTTTGCCCTTTCCAGACATTTCATATAAATAGAGTCTTGTAATATATATGTAAACCTTTTGTGGCTGGCTTCCTTCACTTAGCATAGTGTTTTGGAGGCTCATCCACATTGCAGCATGCCATTACATGATAGAGTAATACTCTATATAATAGTTTGTGTATCTGTGCATTTGTTGATGAACATTAGGATTGTTTCCACTTTTAGACAATTAAGAATGATAGTGCTATGAACATTTGTGTAAAAGTTTTTATTTATTTATTTTATTCATTTATTTTTTGAGACAGAGTCTCACTTTGTCTCCCTCGGTAGAGTGCTGTGGTGTCACAGTTCATAGCAACCTCAAACTCTTGGGCTTAAACGATTCTCTTGCCTCAGCCTCCTAAGTAGCTGGCACTACAGACAACATGAGTCTTTATAGGAGTTACACTGTCTGGGCAGTGGAAAGGAAATGATAACCAGGTATTCCTCTGGGAATTTCTTTTGCAAGGGTATTTATGCAGAGTTTTTGAGAGCCTATTTTGTCTGATCTTAATAGCTCTTCGTACTGTATGCTTCACTCTCATTCTTTTTGTTTGTTCGGTTTTTGGAGAAAGGGTCTCACTCTTCCTCAGACTAGAGTTGCAGTAGTGTTAAAATAGCTCACAGCAACCTCAAACTCCTGGGCTCAAGTGATCCTTCTGCCTCAGCCTCCTGAGTAGCTATGACTATAGGCATACATCACCCACCACCACACCCAGCTAATTCCCCTACCTTTTCTTTTTTGAGACAGTCTTACTATTTCGCCCTCAGTAGAGTGCTGTGGCATCATAGCTCACAGCAACCTCAAACTCTTTGGGCTTAAGCAATTCTCTTGCCTCAGCCTCCCAAGTAGCTGGGACTACAGGCGCCCACCACAATGCCCCGCTATTTTTTTGTTGTAGTTGTTGTTTGGCAGCCCAGGGCTGGGTTTGAACCTGCCAGCTCTGGTGTATGTGGCTGGTGCCCTAGCCGCTGAGCTGTAGGCGCCTAGTCTTTTTCCTCTTTTGGGGGAGAGAGTCTTCCTCTTGCTCAGGCTGATATCAAACTCCTGAGCTCAAGTGATCCTCTTTTTTTTTTGGGTGGGGCTGGGTTTGAATCTGACACCTCCGGCATATGGGGCTGGCACCGTACTCCTTTTAACCACAGGTGCTGCCCTCAAGTGATCCTCTTTCCTTGGCCTCCCAGAGTGCTAGGATTATAGTTGTGAGCCATTGTTCCTGGCCAGCTGCTGAAAGTACTGTGTGCTTCACTCTTACTACTAGTTTAGGGGCCTTTGATGTCTCAAAACTGTTTTTTCTCAAAACGATTTGTATTTGTGGGTTACTAGTTCCAAGGTTAGGTTCATAGTGCCCAAGAAGCAATCCTGGGGCAGCTCAGCACTGTGGCTGCAGCTTACCCATGGAAACCAGACCAGAGGCGCCTTGCCAAATTACAGCTTATCAATGCAAAGGGGTAACAACTGCTTCCTCCACATATCAACCTCTACTTCCTGCTAGTGAAATAAGGATTGATTTTTGTAGACAGTCTTGCTTCCCCAGCTCATGACAGTGGGGCTTCAGGGAGAAGTTACCCCAGCTCTTTTCCCTAGTTCACTCCAGTTCTGGGGACCCTGGGGCTTTCTCACTCTTTGGAGCTTGTACAAACCAGCCTTTTCCTGTTTGGACATGCAGCTATTGCCCCAGTCCTGCTGGATGCTTTGACGGACCCCTCTAGGAAGACCCAGAAGTGTTTGCAGACCCTGCTGGACACCAAATTTGTCCATTTCATTGATGCCCCATCCCTGGCCCTCATCATGCCCATCGTCCAGAGAGCCTTCCAGGACCGTTCCACCGATACGCGGAAGATGGCAGCCCAGATTATTGGCAACATGTACTCTCTGACAGACCAGAAGGTAGCAGCCTCGCTGGGGCTGGTGCAGAACAGATAAGCAAATCTTAGTGTGCAGAGTCCCTGCCTAGAGCAGATGTGGAAGGATGTGGGCCTTGGTCCCTGGTTATGTCTATAGGGAGAAATGGGCCATTTAGGGGTGATGGATAGAAATCTGGCTCTCTGGGCATCTTGCAGAGCACAGTGACTCAAGTCCTTGTAAGCTTAGTCTTCAGCTGAGGTCTATCTCAGTGGGCCCCTTTCACAGACTGAGGCGAAAGAAAGGCCTACCTTCTGCTTTGACTCTCAAGAGTGTTGGTAAAGTGGTTGTTCTTTTGACTATGGCAATGTTTTTTGTCATGAGCTTTGGATTTCATAAGCTTCTCAGAAGAGTCATAGCCTGGTTTGGGAGATTTGCTTTGTTTCTTTGCTCCCAAGAGCATGTGATCTCACTGTCCCAGTTTCTTTTTTTTTTTTTTGAGACAGAGTCTCACTATGTCACCCTTGGTAGACTGCCGTGGCATCACAGTTCACAGCAACCTCAAACTTTTGGGCTTAAGTGATTCTCCTTCCTCAGCCTCCCAAGTAGGTAGGACTACAGGTGCCTGCCACAATGCTCAGCCATTTTTTGTTACGGTTGTCATTGTTGTTTAGCTGGCCTGGGCTGGGTTCAAGCCCACCAGCCTTGGTTTATGTGGCTGGCACTGTATGTAGCCACTGTGCTATAGGTGCCAAGCCCATATGGGGCTGGGTTTGAACCTTCCACCTCCGGTATATGGGGCCAACACCCTACTCCTTTGAGCCACAAGCGCTGCCCCATAAAACTGATTTTTTTTTTTTTTTTGAGACAGAGCCTCAAGCTGTCCCCCTGGGCAGAGTGCCGTGGCCTTACA